TGATTGTTCACGCCAAGAGAACTTCAATCTGTGCCATCCCAGATTGGCAGATGAGAAGAATGCTGTTTGATATAACCTGAGATATCCTCCGCCCGGCAGCAGCCAAATCCCCAAGTGTGTGACTGTCTGACGTGATTTAAGGAGCTTGAAGGGTTTTGGCTCTGCTGAGTTGTCTTTGATTTATACTGTAGCCTTGCCCTCATTCCATGAATATAGAGTATAGTCTGCTAGTTGGCTCATTCCTCGTGGCATCACACCAGATCGAGCCACTTTGAACTCTGAGCTCCATTCAGATTACCTCACACACACAGCATGATATAAATATCAATTTTGCCAGCCTCCATAGGCAAAACACATTTTCAAGAAAATCATTGCTCAATAAGTGCAATTTTTCACAATCTCTTGGATGTGATCAGGTGTGTGCACCCAATAAAACTATTTGGCAAGTGGATCATAAGAATAATCTCTAACACCAGTGGGTTTTTTTGTTTTGTCACACAACAATGGATAGATCACAGATCAGGATTTTCACACATGGAGCAGGTGTGTTCTGACTGAGACAGGCGTGCAGACTGCTCTGCTCTGGTTGATCTGCAGCTGGAAACCCAAAGTGGGAAAGGCAGATGCTAAATACTGCTAATCACATTGGAAGTTGACAAGATCTAAAGGATCAGCCCTGGTTTCCCTGTGGGCTGCTTGGGAGTGAATAGTTAATACTGTAGCTCTTTATCTAATTCATCTAGTCTGAAGGAACGCAGCCAGACTAGACTGACTCTGAATTTGAAGCCTATGGCAGTGACTGAGCACGCTCCTATTTAGCTAGCTACAGTATGAGGACAAGGTAACCTCCCAAATGACACCCTATTTCCTATATAGCACACTACATAGGGAATAGGGTGCCACATGGGACTCAACCTATTGCAGTGAGCGTCTGAGCGTGCTCCCATTTAGCTATGAGGGCAAGTCTTGTGGAAACGGAACATAATTACCGATGACAGGACAGTAATGGGGAATCCCAGATTGCAGACTGGTTACATGGAGGTTCAATACAGTGATTTTAATATGGCGTGTCTGCAGCCTGCATGACATGGCATTATCACTGGAACATGAAAGGGGACTTCTTAAATGCTACTGGGTCTCTCTGCTGAATTATTCATCCATCTTTCTTTCATTACACTTTACAATGACTCAAGACTCAGAGATGAAAAGAAGGAAAGATGAGAGCGAGAGAGGCAGATTGTGGTCTTGTTGCAGTGTCCTCTCAGCTTCCTGGTCTGTCTGAGAGGACAGGAAGTCCATACCAGAACCAGGCCCAGTCCTGATGGTGAGTGGTGACATGACATTGCTCTGGGTCCGTATTCACAAAGCACCTTTGAAGTGCTGATCTAGGATCCCTCTGTCCATATAATCTTATTCATTTTAATTCAAAAGGCAGAACTGATCCTAGATCAACAGTCTGAGACACTTTATGAATACGGGTCCTGATGATGACAGTGACATGCTATTTCTCTAAGGTCCACACATGCTAAAAGCACTTTGAAGCGCCTCTCTGGAGATGAGGGATGTGATGTTTTTCTGAGTGTGCATCTGGGAAATCAAGATGGAGAAAGATGGCCTTGATGTCATAGACTGTATAAAAATAACGTTCGATGTCAGCAAACCTGACTGAATACTGTGAGTGGTGGAAAAGGAAGGATGAGAGAAAGGAAGAATAGAGAAGATGATGATAATAACAAGATGTCATTTTGTTTTTCCCCAGCTGTTTGGCTCTGACATTGGGAGAAGACCAGAGAGAGAGGTGACTTACACACAGAGGAATAGGACTGAGTGCTCTGCTCTAAGGAGAGCTGACATCACAGGTGAGTGTCTGTTCTAGAAGACTCTATTCTAGTCGACAGTTCTTTTCTATGCTCTTTGTCTTTTTGTATGATCCACCCATGAAAACTGACCTCCCTAGCAATAGCTTCTGGGTGGATAATACCTTTGGGAGACCCCCTGCTTGGCTATTTATTTCTGGAGCATGACACATTTGTTTTCTTAGGGTATAATGTTACAGATTTTTGTCTCCTTATAAAAGCACATCAAATGTCCTCAAGCATACTTTTTTATAGCAGGTATCCATTTTACAGCCGTTTTTAGAGAAAACAAAAGTGTTATGTGTTCCAGGCCAGAGATTACGTGATATATCGTGTTCTCTACCTTTTAAACTGGGAAACTGTGTGTCATTGCACTTCATGTACTCTTTGTTTTCTATGGAAGTATTTTTGGGAAAGAGCAGTGGAGGTGGAAACATCATTGAAAAAGAGCAGTGCTGCTGAAATAGCATTGTCTACCTTATGGTGTTCAGGGTTCCTCTTTCTTATCTGTGTATTTCACTCTCTGCTTCCTCTTCGTGTCCTTTTAGCCATTGTCAGTGTCCTCACTTTAGTTTTGTGGCATTTGAATAGGAAACAGAGGGAAGTACTGTGTTTAGATATGTCATTGGTGTAAAATACTATTTTCTTTTTATAGATCCTCCTGTATGTCAGTCAACAGAAGAAATATCAGGGTTATTAGTGATCAGGCACTAAAGGGATGAGGGGTGACTGTTCCGTTCTATGTATCTCACGGGCAGACACCCATTATCTACAGTAGCTAGTAAATATTGTAATCACAGTCAGTGTTCTCTTTATCTCACAATGCAGAGAGAAGCAGGAGATGAAGGAAGTATGTACAATATGATTCATAATTATCACAGACTGCAGATTGTAATAAAGCATGTCTTATTTTTATCCGGGGATATCGTAAATTGTTTGGGTGACATGTACATTTCCCCTGAGTCATTCTAGAATGGGATGAATGGGGAAAATAGGAAGCAGGCAATATGGCCGTCCTCCTCCTCTATGGCTCTGTCTCATATCAGCCCATTTCTGTAGCAGGGAATCTCTCCCCTCCCTATCTCTCGCTCGCTCTCTTCCTCCCTCCCCCCATCCCTCCTTCGCTCCTTCCCCCCACCCCTCGCTCCCTGCCTGGCACAGCAGTCTCTAGGCAAACACACTGATCTGCTCTCCCTGTGAATGGTCCTCTGTTTGGGCACACTGAGGCTGGTCAGTGGCTTAAGCACCATAATGACAATGCAGTCCTTCAGCACACTGCCCTCTGTGCTCTCTACGACCCCTGTCTAGAATTGGATTGTATCAGCTGTGATCAGAGGTAGGATGTTATGCAATCAATATCAGTTGAATTGGTCGGGTGGGGGGAGGATGGTGGAGGTGGAGAGAGAGAGAGAGAGAGAGAGAGAGTCAGTGTATTCTTTTTTTTATCTACCAATATGTGCCCTTCTTTGCGAGGCATTGAAAAACCTCCCTGGTCTTTGTGGTTGAATCTGTGTTTGCAATGCATTGCTTGGCTGAGGGACCTTACAGGTAATTGTTTGTGTGGGGTATAGAGATGAGGTAGTCATTCAAAAATCATGTTAAACACTGTTTTTGTACACTGAGGGAGTCCATGCAACTTATTATGTGAATTGTTAAGCACATTTTTACCCATGAACCTATTTAGGCTTGCCATAACAAAGACATTTCAGCTTTTCATTTTTAAGTAATCTGTACAAATTTCTAAAAACGGAATTCCACTCACACACACATTATGGGGTACTGTGTGTAGGCCAGGGATGCAAAATCAGCCAACATTTTTTTTGAATTCAGGCTGTTGTGGAAAAAAATCTAGAAAAAGTAAAGGGGTGTAAATACTTTCTGAAGGCACTGTAGGTGTAAGAGGATGTGTGTATGACCTTTTGTCCTGTTATCTTGTTAATGAATAAATAAACTATATATTTTTAAAGAATACACAGATGCCTACCGCTTGCAGTGCTTGAAGCTGTAATGTGCATGAAGTGAAGAATAGCTGGTATTTAAAACCCCTTTATAACCCATCCTTAACGCTCTGACAGTGTTCAAGATTAAGCTTGCAGCTAATATCTGCTGCTTCCTTCCACCTCCATAGGATAAGAGACAATGATCAGCCCTCCATTACATGCACAATTGGCCTTGCTGCTGAGTCGATTACAGCTCAATACATCCATTTAGATAGGGCTGCTGAGATCTCAGACTGGCTGTGAGGTTGAGGATGGGCCAATAATATTATTCAGTACCGGTAATACCTCTGGGGTGTTTTCAATTCGCACTTCACAGCACTCATTCCATAGACTTATAATAGACTCATCCCTACAGTATGTTCTAGAATGGACTCATCCCCACTGTATGTTCTAGAATGGACTCATTCCGACAGTATGTTTGTTGTAGAATGGACTTATCCCTACAGTATGTTTGTTGTACAATGGACTCATCCTGACAGTATGTTCTAGAATGGACTCATCCCTACAGTATGTTGTACAATGGACTCATCCTGACAGTATGTTCTAGAATGGACTCATCCCTACAGTATGTTTGTGTTTGTTACCTACTGTATGGTTTACTTTACGTGACCTGTCTAGCACGGTCTGTTTAGCGCTCGTTGAAGGGGATGACTTGGCAGGATTTCAGTAATGAATTAGGTCCGTCTTTTCCCTGACACTATTTAATGCTCCTGAGAAGCCCAGGGGTACATCTATATACCTTCCCCTCTACTTACAGCTGTCCCTGAACCCTAACACCTCAGTTATCTACCTAAAGCCAGCAAACAGATGGATACATCAGTTATACATTTATCTGATCCAACACATCCAGTCTAACGTGGCAGAATAGTGTTACATCTCTCCATCGTCAAGAACCTGACACTAGAGGGATTTACTGTTCCATTCTCAGAAGAGAATGTCTTTATCTGTGGACACTCCCTGTTATTTGGGGTAGACTATTGCCCTGAGATGAGGCTGTTATGTCTCCTATGGTGCCTAGCTGTTAATGCCATAGGAGTCTACAGCCATGTCTCAAGGCAAAGGTAGACTTATGCTTTTGGTTACGTAGTGCATTGTTGTTTTGTGAGACGATTGTAACATTAGGAACCACCTTCTTGTGTTCCAGATGAGAACCATGTCTGATGAGACAGAACCAAGGATGTGTGATGAAAACCTGGAGTCAGACGAGGGGGACGTTGAGGACTACCTGGAGGAAGAGGAGGGGGACGTTGAGGACTACCTGGAGGAAGAGGAAAACAGCGGAGAACTGATGGACCGACTCAGAGAGCTGGAGGTGAGTCAACCACCATCACACTTGAATGAATACAAGACATATCAAATTATATCATGTTTTAAATATTATATAATTTCAACACATTCAGCGTATTTATTTATGTTTTCACATTTTAGAAAAATATTTTAACATTAAACATTTACATTTATGAATAATCTATTGTCTTCCTGTTGCCAGGCAGAAAACTCAGCTCTTGTGTTGGCCAATGAGAGTCAAAGAGAAGCATATGAGAGATGTCTGGATGAGGTGGCCAACCATGTGGTCCAAGCCCTGCTCAACCAAAAGGTAATTCACAACAAACAATCCACCATTGCCAAAACACAATTTTGAACCACCAGCAGTAAGGCATGGGTTGTCATCGTGGTTAACTTGGTCATCGTGCTATACATTGTGTGTGTGTTCTGTGTGTCTTTGTAGGATCTGCGAGAGGAGTGCATCAAGCTGAAGATGCATGTGTTTGACCTGGAGAGACAGAACAGAGTGTTGTGTGAGCTCTTCCAACAGAAGCTACCCAACCAGTCAAGCTCTCACGACCAGGTATAAAGCAGCGTCACCATTTGCCCTGAGACATGGCTGTAGACTCCTATGGAATTAGACGCTGTAGATTCCAACGGCATTAGAGACTGTTGACTTCTACGGCATTAGAGGCTGTAGCCTCCTACGGGCTGTAGACTCCTATGGCATTAGATACTGTAGACTCCTGCGGCATTAGAGGCTGTAGACTACTACGGCTTTAGAGGCTGTAGACTACTGCGGCTTTAGAGGCTGTAGACTCCTGCGGCATTAGAGGCTGTAGACTACTACGGCTTTAGAGGCTGTAGACTACTACGGCTTTAGAGGCTGTAGACTACTACGGCTTTAGAGGCTGTAGACTACTACGGCTTTAGAGGCTGTAGACTACTACGGCTTTAGAGGCTGTAGACTACTGCGGCTTTAGAGGCTGTAGACTACTACGGCTTTAGAGGCTGTAGACTACTACGGCTTTAGAGGCTGTAGACTACTACGGCTTTAGAGGCTGTAGACTACTACGGCTTTAGAGGCTGTAGACTACTGCGGCTTTAGAGGCTGTAGACTACTGCGGCTTTAGAGGCTGTAGACTACTACGGCTTTAGAGGCTGTAGACTGCTGCGGCTTTAGAGGCTGTAGACTCCTGCGGCATTAGAGGCTGTAGACTACTACGGCTTTAGAGGCCGTAGACTACTGCGGCATTAGAGGCCGTATACTCCTGCGGCATTAGAGGCTGTAGACTCCTGCGGCATTAGAGGCTGTAGACTCCTGCGGCATTAGAGGCTGTAGACTCCTGCGGCATTAGAGGCTGTAGACTCCTGCGGCATTAGAGGCTGTAGACTCCTGCGGCATTAGAGGCTGTAGACTACTACGGCTTTAGAGGCTGTAGACTCCTGCGGCATTAGAGGCTGTAGACTCCTGCGGCATTAGAGGCTGTAGACTCCTATGGCATTAGCGGCTGTAGACTACTACGGCATTAGAGGCTCTATCTACACCCATGTCTCAGGGCTTCTGCTGAGTATTTGAAATGAATCTCTCAGCTGTTATACCTCTTGCTTCATGTTGTTGTAATGTATAGATTCATATAACAATGCTGTGCTTAATGTGGTGTACATGATTGCATTGAATATCATGTTACAGGTGCAGCCGGGACCCCTCCCAGTGTACAATACACAGCTGCTGCACAATGTCTCTGACAAGCAGGTGGTGTCACAGAGCGAAGCACAAGCCAAGGTGAGGACAGAGCACTGTTAGCACTTAATCCTGAGACATGGCTGTAGACTCCTATGGAGTCAAACACTGTCTGGGTTACGTTAGCAGTCATGACATACTCTGTGGGGTCCAAGGTTTCTCAGATGAAATGGCATTTTCTTTCTATTTCACTATTGTATTCAAGAGACCTGGACTTTCTAATTTCTGTTAAACAATGAGGCTGCAGTCTTGAAGTGTTATTGAATGAAGTGATTTCAATCTTGTTAATTACCTTTATTTAACCAGTTAGGTTATTGAGAACACACTCCCATAATAACAACCTGAAAATCTTTCTCTCCACAGGGAAATGGGTTCCACCGCACACTGCCACAGGCCCCAGCAACTCCCCCCCGAGGCCCAGCTGCATCCATGGAGGCCCTGTCCCCATTCTTCAAGAAGAAAGCACACATTCTGGAGGTCCTCCGCAAGATGGAAGAGACAGACCCCCTCAAGTTCCACCCCTCTGCAGGCAGCATCACCTTCTGTGACTACAGCCAGGTCCTGATGTCCACAGAGGCTGTGCTGGCTGCTGGAGACCTATGTAAGAAGCACCAGACACTCTGCTCCTGCTCAGACTCCAACACGCAACAACAGCAGCACATGAATGGTGAAGGGCAGTTATGTCCTACGCACCTCAAAAAGAGCACAGACAGTCCAGTCAAATGTAACCATGTTTGTGGTAGTACTGCAAAGCTCAACTTGATCCCGAACCATGTCAAAGGCATATCCACCACAGCTGCTATCAGTGAATGCCACATCAAGAGCACATCAGTGGAGAAACAACTGACAATGAATGATCACCAGCAACCAGCAGGTCCAAACTCTTACTTGTCAGTCACAGTTGTAGATCAGACTAGTCCAGCCAATCAGGGCCCAGAGGCGGGATTAAAGACTGGGCAGGTCCAGGACACAGAGGAGGAGAGCTGTCTTAAAGGGAAGTCTGATGAGGATAGTAGTTTGTTTACCTCCCAGCTGCCTGTCCCTGGAGTGAAGGACAATCCTCAGATAGCATACTGTGAGCTGGAAACCAATGGGTTTCTCCTCTCTTCCAATGACAGTGATAACGTGTTGAGTGATGTAGTTATTCCAGAGAAGGACAGTGGCCCAGCAGAGGAGGGGGCTCTCGCTGGGAGAGCCAACGTGGCCCTCAGCCCCATCCCTTCATCCTGTCTCAGCGATGTCAAAGCCGCTGCCATCAATTCCCCGTCCAAGATCCTCAAGTTCCTAAAGATCCCAACAATGGCAGAGAGGACCCAGGCAGGGGCCAGCCCTGTCCGTCTGAGCCCCCAGCTCACCCGCACATCGAAGATCCCCTGCCGCACTAACAACTATGAGGTGTACCACTCCCCTGTCCCCTCACGCAGAGCCGCCACCACAGAGAGGACCAGGCAGCCTCCCCCTCCACCCGCCAGGTCCGAGTCCTACCAAGCCACCACGCACTCAGCCTCAGCCCCCACCTCCCCGCCCCAGCCTGAGGACGCCTGCTCCCCTCCAGCCAAGGAGCTTTGCTACAGAAGCCTCTCGGCCCTCAAGGCCAGCAATGGTGTCCCTGATCCACTGGCCTCTGGCACTTCGCACACACCAAGGGCCTCTTTGCAGAAGGTCCCGTACTACGAGAACATGTCGGAACTCTCCACCTCGGCTCAGGTAGAAGAATCCAAGGTCCCAGAGAACGTAAACATATCATCTTTCTCTCATACCATAACAGAAAGTGACAGGAAGCACATTAATTCACTACTACAGAAAGAGAATGTCCTGAGTCTCCAGCAGCAACATTTGTCCCCTGCTTCGGACTCCTCCTCCTCTTCCTCCTCCTCCTCATCTGCGTCTGATCAGGATGGCAACCCAGAGAGCCCAGTCTGGCACGGCCACCACAGTCTGCCCAACCCCTTTGCCCTCAGAGCAGCTCAGTCTCAGGGCAGCCCAGCTCACTACGCCAGCATGAAAGACAGAGGATCACAGGACCAGGATACTAGAGAGGCCACCATGCAGAACTCTGATCTCTCCCAGTCCCAGCCTCCAGCTCTCCCAGCCAAGAGACATGATCCCTCGTCCATTCCCAAAAGGCCTTCTGGGGTAGCATCTCCTGGGAGGCAGCCAGCCGAGTCTAGTCACACATTCAAAGACAGGCTGGCTGCACTTGGCAAGCTGAGGAGCTCTGAGGATTTACAAGTCAATGTGCTGCTGCCAGTAGACAAGCCAGAGCCCCCGAGTGATGAGAGTATAGTCTCTTTTAACGATGACAGGAGTAAGACAGCGGAGAGGCCTGTGGATGGTAATTTAGAGGAGCAGAGACACTCAAAATATACAGACTCTCTGGACGGTAAGCATAAAGGTATTCCTGGTAGTGTTGCTTTGAAGTTCCCAGGTGCCTGTCAGTCCTACGATCCAGCAGCTAAGTCTCTCTTTGGCTCTTCAGTCGGCAAGGCGGAGCTGGAGATGCTCTCATCCAGAGTGGGTGTGGCTAAGATGGACAGCCCCAAAGGTAAACTGGGCCTCCCGTCGCCAAACACTGACACTCCCATAGTTTTACGCAACAACATGAAATGCCCGGCTTCTCTGAACCTGTCTTACCATGGTAAACAACCTGCACCCAGCATCCCTCACAGCACAAGCAGCCCCAGCAAGGTCCCTCCTAAGTCCCCGTCTAAACCGTGCCAGGGCCTGGCTCCCTCAGCTGGAACTGGGAAGCCCACCCTGGAGGCCCCGGCCCTGGTCCCACGGTACTCCTCCAAGTCAGAGGACAGAAGCAAACTCAACACAAACAAGAAGAGAAACACCACAGTGTACGGTGACAGCCTTCCTCCCCCGCTCCCAATGCCAACGTCAGAACCGCATCAGGAGGAGGAGAAGAGACACCTTGACCCTATTGTCCCCAGCCCCACACTTGGCCCCACGTCAGCCATCGAAGAGAAGGTGATGAAGGGTATCGAGGAGAACATGCTGAAGCTGGCAGAACAGGACAGAGGACAGGTATAAATGTTTGTTTTTTCTGTGAAATAATGTTGTTTTTCTTATGCATTATTTATTAGTGACATGTCTAATTAATTCAATCTGGAGCTGGAATTTTTGTATGTGTTAGTATAAAGTATTTCAGAGTGTTTGCTGTCAGCAATTCGATAAATAAAGACTTTGAACAGGTTACTGAGGTCAAACTGAAGGCCTCTAACGGGATCGCCAGCTGGTTCGGCCTGAAGAAAAGCAAACTCCCAGCTCTCAGCCGCAAACCAGACACACCACCTAAGGTCAAAGATGAGAAGAAGGGTGGAGAGTGGAGGCTGAATATCCCTTCCAAAATGGCTGGGTCTAAGTCTAAAGGAGAGGGGGTGGGGGTGGAGAGCCTGAATATCTCTATGCTGATGGAGAAGGCGGAGGGTCTGAGGAGAGCTCTGGAGGAGGAAAGGGCCTACGTGAACGGGGTTGGGGGGGTCGGGATGGACCGGTCTGGGAGGGGCCACTCCTGTGAGGTGGTGATGGACCAATCACAGGGCCAGCTGGCTGTGATGTACAGGGGAGCGCGCTCAGACAACTTCATGCAGCAGCTACTGAACAGGTGATGAATAGATATAAGCTATGGGATTCTATGTTTAGGATGGTTTTGTATTGCTTTTGTTTGAAGTAAAACAACTTAAGTTATTTTTTTAAAGTAACTATCGCCAAGCACTATCTGAAGTCGTACTCCAGTCTCTTTTTCTGCTCATTTATCACCTGATTTACTTAATAAATGACACATTTCAATAGGTGGTCAAAGTGTCCTCTGATATGCACAAGTGGGGGGTGGGGGCTTTTCCTCTTTTGTTCTCTATTGCTCCTCTATTGTGCCTCAAGCAAGGGGGGAGGCCGATGACATCAGAGGGCACCATCAGACTAACTCCTTGAATGGCTTACTCCATTAAGTTTGCACTATTTTGCTCAAAACATACACTCATACATTACTGTATTTTTAACAGGAAAAGTTTTTTTTTTTTTTATCGCCAGAGTACGTCTTTAATCAAGCTTAATCTAAAAAGGTCAAATGTTTGTGTTGCCTATCCTCTTTTTGAACAACATCCTACCTCTGTGTTGTGTCTGTGTGACTAAAGGGTGGATGGGAAGGACTTCAGTGGCATCAGTGTGGCTCAGAGACGCCTCTCCTTTGACTGTAAGACCTCCAGACCGTTCAGCAGCCACACCACCACCAGCGGAGAGGACATGCAGAAGGTAAGCTACAGATTCATTACAATTAGTATTTTTCTTTACTGTGTGTGTGTGTGTGTGTGTGTGTGTGTGTGTGAATGGAGAAGGTACAAGTGAAAATTAGTATTTCCACTTTATTCTGTGAGTGGGTTTTGAGAACTGTTTTTTATTTACTCAGGGTTCAGAACATCTGATCAGCAATGTCCCCTCAGATGAGAATTTAGCTGACCCAGTTCACTCTCATCACTTCGCAGGTAAGAAAACTGATCAGATTAATCATTTTATGGAGGCATTCAGTATTTCTCAGATTGTGTTAAACCTTAACAAATCAAATAATCTAATCAATAATCTAATTCGAGAAGGTTTTGAATTGAATCAGCCTGTGAGACATGAAGGGACATAAACTGATTGTCCCTGTTCTCTCCTAGCCTCTGGTGCTTCCACCTACACCCTGGACAGTGGCATTGGCACCTTCCCTCTGCCTGACTACTGTGGTGGTACACCTGGGAGAAGCCTGTCTAAGGTGAGGGGGGCTGGAGCTGAGCATGGCTCCTCTGGTTCTCCTGGCCGGGCAGGGAGGAGGGCTAGGACCCTGGACAGAGAGCCCTCATCAATGGAGCAGTGCTATCAACCTCACAGAGAGATGACTGCCCCGGTAATGTACGGGTCTGTACTGGAGGGGAAAGGCATGTCCAGGCAAACAGCTGGGGTCATTCATGAAGGTACAGTACTGAGAAATACTGTATACATCACAGTTCATAATATCAAATACTGTATATCACAATATGAAATGAATCACAATAACGTTACTCAATCAAATACTGTATATCACACAATACTCAAAATCAAACATATACCCGTAATACGTATCGATGATTCAGTATAATTACCGGTAAGAGAAAAAAACTGGAGCTTTTTTACAACCAAATCTCTATTTTTGATGTAAATGGCATGTTATAGAAGGGGCCAGAAACTTTTTTTCCATATGATTTCACTTGTTTTTGAGAAACATACCCAAAACAGCGATTAACTTCCTCATCCTCGTTGTGCAGTATGGGGGCTCTGAAAAAACATGAACAAATGCTGCAAAAATACCCAAATACATCCTTTAAGAAACTGAAAAACTCTCAGTATAGTAAAATTGTGTCATTCCGAGTTTTATCCGCAACGATATATTCAATTTTGTTGCGACTCGAGCGATACCTCGCTGTCCATTCTAGCAGCAGGCTACACAGAGAATAAAAAATACAAATGAAAACGCTGCACACTGCTGTTCATGCTCCCAGGTGATTTTGTTACAACATTTTGACCCTTAGGTCTTCATCAGGCATCCATACCCCAGGTGGAAGGTCCTATATATAGGGGCAGTGCTCAGTGACATTACTTCCTGAAACAGGAGGTAAAAATATATAATATCGGTTCACAATATCAACATTCAATATATACAAATACAGTGAGCTCCATAATTCATTGGACAGTGACAATTTTTTTGTTATTTTGGTTCTGTACTCTAGCATTTTCATACATATCGGATGAACCGTTTAGAAATGACAGCACCTTTTGTACATGGTCCCCCATTTTAAGGTACTACAAGTATTTGTTAAATTGGCTTCACAGATGTGTGTCGTTAGTGAATGCAGGAGAGCTGTTGATGAATAGTATTGATTCTAGACTTTGCTATTGCCTTTGGAGGTTGTTGTTGGGGTGTGACAACATGAGGAAGACAGCAGTGTCAATGCAAATGAAGCTGGCCGTCATAAGGCTCAGAAATGAAAATCAATCAATCAGGAACATTGCAAAAACCCTGGCCATGCCCAAGTCAACAGTTTGGTTCATCATTAACAAGAAAAAAACAACCGGTGAACTCAATTATGTCAAAAGACCCGGTAGACCGAGGAAGACCACTGTAGTGGATGACCGGAGAATACTCTCTATGGTGAAAAAAAAAACCCTGACAACAGCCCAACAGATCAAAAACACTCTCCTGGATGCAGGTGTAGATGTGTCAAAGTCTACTATACGTAGAAGACTACACCAGCAGGACTACAGAGGGTACACTACAAGATGCAAACCACTGATAAGCCTGAAGAACAGAAAGGCGAGATTACAGTTTGCTAAAAAGCACCTAAAAGAGCCCCAAGAGTTCTGGAAAAAAGTATTGTGGACAGATGAGACAACATGTACCAGAGTGATGGAAAGTGTGGAGAAAAAAAATTAATGCCCATGATCCAAAGCATACCACCTCATCCGTCAAACATGGTGGAGGGGGTGTTATGGCTTGGGCCTGTATAGCTGCCAGTGGAACAGGCTCACTTGTCTTCATCGATGATGTGACTGCAGACAGAAGTAGAACAATTAATTCTGAAGTCTACAGAAATACACTGCTCAAAAAAATAAAGGGAACACTTAAACAACACAATGTAACTCCAAGTCAATCACACTTCTGTGAAATCAAACTGTCCACTTAGGAAGCAACACTGATTGACAATACATTTCACATGCTGTTGTGCAAATGGAATAGACAACAGGTGGAAATTATAGGCAATTAGCAAGACACCCCCAATAAAGAAGTGGTTCTGCAGTTGGTGACCACAGACCACTTCTCAGTTCCTATGCTTCCTGGCTGATGTTTTGGTCACTTTTGAATGCTGGCGGTGCTTTAAGCTTTAACTCTAGTGGTAACATGAGACGGAGTCTACAACCCACACAAGTGGCTCAGGTAGTGCAGCTCATCCAGGATGGCACATCAATGCGAGCTGTGGCAAGAAGGTTTGCTGTGTCTGTCAGCGTAGTGTCCAGAGCACGGAGGCGCTACCAGGAGACAGGCCAGTACATCAGGAGACATGGAGGAGGCCGTAGGAGGGCAACAACCCAGCAGCAGGACCGCTACCTTCGACTTTGTGCAAGGAGGAGCAGGAGGAGCACTGCCAGAGCCCTGCAAAATGACCTCCAGCAGGCCACAAATGTGCATGTGTCTGCTCAAACGGTCAGAAACAGACTCCATGAGGGTGGTATGAGGGCCCGACGTCCACAGGTGGGGGTTGTGCTTACAGCCCAACACCGTGCAGGATGTTTGGCATTTGCCAGAGAACACCAAGATTGGCAAATTCGCCACTGGCGCCCTGTGCTCTTCACAGATGAAAGCAGGTTCACACTGAGCACATGTGACAGACGTGACAGAGTCTGGAGACACCGTGGAGAACGTTCTGCTGCCTGCAACATCCTCCAGCATGACCGGTTTGGCGGTGGGTCAGTCATGGTGTGGGGTGGCATTTCTTTGGGGGCCAGAGGTAGCCAGAGGTAGCCTGACTGCCATTAGGTAACGAGATGAGATCCTCAGACCCCTTGTGAGACCATATGCTGGTGCGGTTGGCCCTGGGTTCTTCCTAATGCAAGACAATGCTAGACCTCATGTGGCTGGAGTGTGTCAGCAGTTCCTGCAAGAGGAAGGCATTGATGCTATGGACTGGCCCGCCCATTCCCCAGACCTGAATCCAATTGAGCACCTGGGACATCATGTCTCGCTCCATCCACCAACGCCACATTGCACCACAGACTGTCCAGGAGTTGGCGGATGCTTTAGTCCAGGTCTGGGAGGAGATCCCTCAGGAGACCATCCGCCACCTCATCAGGAGCATGCCCAGGCGTTGTAGGGAGGTCATACAGGCACGTGGAGGCCACACACACTACTGAGCCTCATTTTGACTTGTTTTAAGGACATTACATCAAAGTTGGATCAGCCTGTAGTGTGGTTTTCCACTTATATTTTGAGGGTGACTCCAAATCCAGACCTCCATGGGTTGATTAATTTGATTTCCATTGATAATTTTTGTGTGATTTTGTTGTCAGCACATTCAACTATGTAAAGAAAAAAGTATTTAATAAGATTATTTCTTTCATTCATTCAGATCTAGGATGTGTTGTTTAAGTGTTCCCTTAATTTTTTTGAGCAGTGTATTTTATCTGCTCAGATAAAACCAAATGCCTCCAAACTCATTGGACGTAAACATACTGCTAGAGCAACGAAGGGGTTTTTGATGGCCAAAAGGTGGAAAATCCTTGACTGGCCGAGTCGATCACCGGATCTGAATCCAATTGAACATGCATTTTACATGCTGAAGAGGAGACTGAAGGCAATAAGTCCTCGAAACAAGCAGGAACTGAAGATGGCTGCAGTACAGGCCTGGCAGAGCATCACCAGGGAAGATACCCAGCGTCTGGTGATGTCGATGCATCGCAGACTTCAAGCAGTCATTGCATGCAAAGGATATGCGACCAAATATTAACAATGATTACTTTATTCTACATTATGTTAAACTGTCCAATGTTTTTTGATGCCCGAAAATGGGGGGGACCATGTACAAAAGCTTCTATAATTTCTAAACGGTTCATCCGATATGTATGAAAATACCCTCAAATTAAAGCTGACAGTCTGCACTTCACCCTCATTGTCATTGTATCCTTTCAAACTGAAAGTGCTAGAGCACAGAACCAAAATAACAAAAAAATGGTCACTGTCCAATGAATTATGGAGCTCACTGTATATAACCATACATGAGGAATGTGATAAATACAGTATTTACAGAAAATATTCCCTTTTGAAGTAGTATCCTCTCAATATCCCCTCCGCTGCACGATATCTTGACTATTTCTATTCCAATGCATCTCAGAGAGCTCATAGGATGTCCAGCTTGTACAAAATGAAAAGCAACAGGGTTTTTTGTCTCACCTGTCCGTATATTGCTGCGGTGGTCACAGATCCCGGTCTGCAGGTTTTCCCTATGTAGGACTGACCACAAGGACACTGATCTTAAATCTTTGTCGTGTGCGGGGTGGGTGAGTCACATTGAGCACATTAGCCACATTTATAATTTCCCTATAGGACCTTCTTGGACAAGGTTTCCCTTTTCTCTTGTGTGTGTGATCAGATTTGACCACAATGTCTCTCACATTTGGGGTTCTTTTAAAGACCATACATGGGGGTTGTTTAAAGATGGGTTTCAGTTGTGGGTCAGTGTCATCAATTTACCAGTGCTTCCTGATAATGTCCTTAAATGCCTTCCCCAAGGGTGAGTATTGGTTGAAGCATGAGGGGACACGTTCAGCTTTTTCTTTTACTTTTGGTTGAAGGGTATAAAGACAGTTGGGTAAAACATGCCAATTATCATTTTGAAGGGCTGTGTCTGTTTCTGGTAAGAAGCATCAGAGCTACATATCCTAATAATTTGGCTGAATTGATTTACAGGGAGACTTTTAATGAGTGGACGTGGATGGAAGCGGTCACCTTTAAGGAGGGTGTTCCTCTCCGTAGTTTTCCTGTAGAGATCTGTAGAGAGGGAGGTTTTGTCCTTAATAACCATCACATCAAGAAAACTGAGTTCTTCCTGGGTCCCTGCATAGATCAGGAAATATCATCCAAATATATCTCAGAATGAGGAAAATATTGGGGAGAAAGGTTCTGGATTCATCACCACCTGTTTTTCAAACATTCCTAGATATACTGTACATTCGGAAAGTATTCAGACCCCTTCACTTTTTCCACATGTTGTTACGTTACAGCCTTATTCTAAAATGGATTACATTATTATTTTCTTCTCAATCTACACACAATACCCCATAATGACAAAGTGGAAACAGCTTTTTACCTTATTTACATAAGTATTCAGACCCTTTGCTATGAGACTTGAAATTGAGCTCAGGTGCATGCTGTTTCAATTGATCATCTGTAAAATGTTTCTACAACTTGATTGGAGTCCACCTGTGGTAAATTCAATTGATTGGACATGATTTGGAAAGGCACACACCTGTCTATATAAGGTCCCACAGTTGACAGTGCATGTCAGAGCAAAAACCAAGCCATGAGGTCGAAAGAATTGTCCGTGGAGCTCCGAGACGACAGGATTGTGTCAAGGCACAGATCTGGGGAAGGGTACCAAAAAAGGTCCCCAAGAACACAGTGGCCTCCATCATTCTTCCTAGAGCTGGCCGCCCTGCCAAACTGAGCAATCGGGGGAGAAGGGCCTTGGTCAGGAAGGTGACCAAGAACCCGATGGTCACTCTGACAGAGCTCCAGAGTTCCTCTGTGGATATGGGAGAACCTTCCAGAAGGACAACCATCTCTGCAGCACTCCACCAATCAGGCCTTTATGGTAGAGAGACCAGACGGAAGCCACTCCTCAGTAAAAGGCACATGACAGCCCGCTTGGAGTTTGCCAAAAGGCACCTAAAGGGCTCTGACCATGAGAAACAATATTCTCTGGTCTGATGAAACCAAGATTGAACTCTTTGTCCTGAATGCCAAGCGTCACATTTTTGTATGTATTTTATAAAAAGTAATATATATATATATATATATACAGTGGGGGAAAAAAGTATTTAGTCAGCCACCAATTGTGCAAGTTCTCCCACTTAAAAAGATGAGAGTCCTGTAATTTTCATCATAGGTACACGTCAACTATGACAGACAAATTGAGAATTTTTTTTCCAGAAAATCACATTGTAGGATTTTTAATGAATTTATTTGCAAATTATGGTGGAAAATAAGTATTTGGTCACCTACAAACAAGCAAGATTTCTGGCTCTCACAGACCTGTAACTTCTTCTTTAAGAGGCTCCTCTGTCCTCCACTCGTTACCTGTATTAATGGCACCTGTTTGAACTTGTTATCAGTATAAAAGACACCTGTCCACAACCTCAAACAGTCACACTCCAAACTCCACTATGGCCAAGACCAAAGAGCTGTTAAAGGACACCAGAAACAAAATTGTAGACCTGCACCAGGCTGGGAAGACTGAATCTGCAATAGGTAAGCAGCTATTTTGAAGAAATCAACTGTGGGAGCAATTATTAGGAAATGGAAGACATACAAAACCACTGATAATCTCCCTCGATCTGGGGCTCCACGCAAGATCTCACCACGTGGGGTCAAAATGATCACAAGAACGGTGAGCAAAAATCCCAGAACCACACGGGGGGACCTAGTGAATGACCTGCAGAGAGCTGGGACCAAAGTAACAAAGCCTACCATCAGTAACACACTACGCCGCCAGGGACTCAAATCCTGCAGTGCCAGACGTGTCCCCCTGCTTAAGCCAGTACATGTCCAGGCCCGTCTGAAGTTTGCTAGAGTGCATTTGGATGATCCAGAAGAGGATTGGGAGAATGTCATATGGTCAGATGAAACCAAAATATAACTTTTTGGTAAAAACTCAACTCGTCGTGTTTGGAGGACAAAGAATGCTGAGTTGCATCCAAAGAACACCATACCTACTGTGAAGCATGGGGGTGGAAACATCATGCTTTGGGGCTGTTTTTCTGCAAAGGGACCAGGACGACTGATCCGTGTAAAGGAAAGAATGAATGGGGCCATGTATCGTGACATTTGAGTGAAAACCTCCTTCCATCAGCAAGGGCATTGAAGATGAAACGTGGCTGGGTCTTTCAGCATGACAGTGATCCCAAACACACCGCCCGGGCAACGAAGGAGTGGCTTCGTAAGAAGCATTTCAAGGTCCTGGAGTGGCCTAGCCAGTCTCCAGATCTCAACCCCATAGAAAATCTTTGGAGGGAGTTGAAAGTCCGTGTTGCCCAGCGACAGCCCCAAAACATCACTGCTCTAGAGGAGATCTGCATGGAGGAATGGGCCAAAATACCAGCAACAGTGTGTGAAAACCTTGTGAAGACTTACAGAAAACGTTTGACATGTGTCATTGCCAACAAAGGGTATATAACAAAGTATTGAGAAACTTTTGTTATTGACCAAATACTTATTTTCCACCATAATTTGCAAATAAATTCATAAAAAATCCTACAATGTGATTTTCTGGATTTTTTTTTCTCATTTTGTCTGTCATAGTTGACGTGTACCTATGATGAAAATTACAGGCCTCTCTCATCTTTTTAAGTGGGAGAACTTGCACAGTTGGTGGCTGACTAAATACTTTTTTTCCCCACTGTGTGTGTGTGTGTGTGTATATATATATTTTTTATCACTGAGTTCTCAGAATTCCATTTTCATAGTCTGCAGCATTTTGCATCACTATTACACCTCCCTTGTCGGCAGGTTTTATAATGATAGTGGAGTCATTCTTGAGATGGAACAGCTGAATAGGGGAAACGGCTTGAGTCGCACAAAATTGAATATAATGTTGCGGATAAAGTTCGGAATGACAATTTCATGTGTACAACATCTAAAGACCTGCATCACCATACTGAGCGCATTTCCGTTTCTAAAAGGACGTATTTGGGTGCTTTTGCAGCATTTGTTCATGTTTTTTCAGAGCCCCCATACTGCACAACGAGGATGAGGAAGTTAATCGCTGGTTGGGGTAAGTTTCTCAAAAACAAGTGAAATTGCAAAAAAAGTGTCTGGACCCTTCTACAACACACCAATCACGTACATTTTTACATCAAAAATAGATTTGGTAAAAAAGCAAATTTCTCCTTGAATGACTTTTATACATTAACAATGTACTTTATGTATGGACTTTCATTTAGAATAATCCTGAATAAAATGATCTTTGTAACCTTTGCAGACAAAGAAGCCTATGGAGCTCACATGCTCTCCCCCCGCTCCAAGACCTGGACCTTCCCCAACCTGAAGACCCCTGCAGGGTCCACTGAGATGTACCTGGCCGTGGAAGAAGAGGTGGAGACGGCCCCCTATGGATCCCCATTTAGAGGGGTTGGTTGAAAACATGATAATAATGTCAGACTAACCATTTTGCATTTGTAATTAATTTAGAATATGATTATTAAAAATGTATTGTGGATTTGTGACATTTTACTATTGACAGTCTCCCTCTCCCTCCACTCCCCTCTCCCTCCACTCCCCTCTCCTCTCCCTCCACTCCCCTCCCTTCCCCCCCTTCCCCTCCCCTCCCCCCTCCTACTCTCCCCTCCCCCCTCCTACTCTCCCCTCCCCTCCCCCCTCCTACTCTCCCCTCCCCTCCTACTCTCCCCTCCCCTCCCCTCCTACCCTCCCCTCCCCTCCCCTCCCCTCCTACCCTCCCTCCCTTATAGAAGGCCTGTGGTTCCTCTGGATCTCGTAACATAGACCCCAGCAGTCTGCCGGTGCCAGCCCAGACAGGGCTGAGCCGACGGGGGAAGATACGCAGTACGCCCAGTGCCCCAGAGATGGGCCTTGGCCGGGAGGCGGGCCTGGAGCTGGTGAGGGAGAGGCCTGAGGAGGCCCTCTCCCCCAGCCGCCCCCAGGTCCTAGAGACCCCCGAGTCGCTCAGTGACTCTCTCTATGACAGCCTCTCTTCCTGTGGCAGCCAGGGATGACGGGGACAGGGGAGCAGAAAGACAGGTGATCTGCAGATCCTACTATGGTACCGACTGACCCACCTTAGTGGAACATGGAATATGGACTGTGCTAAGATATACCCATTTCACAGTATCGTGCCAACCTGAACCATATTGGGCTCCAATATTTTATTTTCACATTGTTCTTTCCAGAATGGTTCTAGCTACTATGGCGGATGATTAACCAGGCCAGCCGGATACAGCTTGGTCCGACCCTTGTCAGTTTGTCTCAGTAGTGTGAAAAGGGTACATGTGACGCTGACCACCATTAGAGGAATATGGACTGTGATAAGATGGTGTCCCCTTAGAACTTTCATGTATGCTTTCTCACCAGCTATGTTTCAAGGTTAACTGGAAATACCAACCTCTCCTCAGGATAACTACAACCCAAAGGATAGACTATTCACAATAATACTGTTTTATGACAGGAGAGAATTGGACAAACTGAACACACTGCTAACCAAAATAGTTATTTATATCATTGTAGGATTATGGATATAGTGTGTTGAGCGATTAGGGTTTTTCGGTTCAATTATTAAAAAATAATCACTGTTTTCGATTTGTTATTTATTTTTTTGCATTAAATGCACTATGTGGGTTGAATACTGTAACACAGAATAAAACAATTAAAGTCCAATGATGGTAGTTACATTTACATTTGTCAGTGACTGCCCCTTACTGCTTATCACTTATTAACCATTTATTCACATTACTTTAAAATATTTCAGTTGTGTATATTACATTTGTTTTATGATTACTTTATTATTCCATTCCAAGTAATCTCATCTATATTGAGCTGCTGCCTATGCTGTCTGACAAAATCCCTATTTTAGTAGTTCTTCAAAATAAATAAGGCATACTTTTTATGACTGCTGAATACCAACTATCAATCACTTAGATCATATATTGTCAGGTACTGATACCTCACGAAGCAAGTGCTCTCTATCCCCATCCATCTCGATCGCGCATTCTTCTGTCTGCCTCACACTAACCCAAGGTAGCGGGCATAAAAGAAACACGGACCGAACAAGTAGCCGCGTAATGGATTATGGTCATTGTAGTTAATTACCACGTTTTCTGCGCTAAATTGTGTAGAATATTGACCTGTTGGAAACTACAACTCCCTACTACATCGCACAGTTCGGGCTTGATCTGATTTATCTCTAGAGAAACTGCGCATTGAGCTCAGAAAAAAAAAACTAAATGGATGCAAATAATTGAACGGACGTCAGTCAATTAGTTTAAAAACGAAAAATAACTGACATTTCGGTTAATCGCTCAGTACTAGGAAATACACAGATAAGATGACAATATCGAACATTCCCACACAAAAAATAAAATCTTATGTTGAAATTGAATATGCCTTGTTCATCAGTCTTACCCCAACCCTCACCAAAATATCTTACTGTATTTATTAGACTACAGGGCGCTGAAACACTGATCATGCAAGGACTCATTACCAATATAATACCAATAAATAATTCTATTTTCTTTCAGTTCACACTAATGTACTGATTCCTTCATCTTGAGCTCTTAAAATGTTATTTTTTCCCCCACTATTGAATACATTTTAATTTTATGTATAAAATGATTTGTTGATGGTGTTAAGATTTTTTCTCTAACTGCTAAGAAAAAGCATTTAGTTTAGCTGACCATTCTTTGAAGGTAATATGCCAGCAATAATACTGAAAAGAGACATGGCTACATTATTGTCCAATTAATTATGTATTTATTTTATTGTTATGTTAAATCAACTGCACATTTGGAATTGTCAATTTTTTATATTTTTTTGTGTGTAAATGCAGTCATCTGACTAAAATAGATTGTTTAACTTTGGATGTCATAACCTTGAACAGCTAAGATGTCAACATTATTTTTTAAAGGTTTTTATGATTATTTCTTGTTCATGTGTTCTCACTGACGCACAAATAAAATAAAATTACACCATATACATGGCCCCGTGTAGCTCAGTTGGTAGAGCATGGCGCTTGCAACGCCAGGGTTGTGGGTTCGTTTCCCACGGGGGGCCAGTATGAAAATGTATGCACTCACTAACTGTAAGTCGCTCTGGATAAGAGCGTCTGCTAAATGACAAATGTAAATGTAAATATATCTGCGTGTTTGCATGCAAGTACTGCAATGAAGAAAACTGCATTTGGTTGATCATTTAACACTTATTTGAATAAATGTATCAAATTAGATTCACTGGTAAAGTATGTTTTCACAGTAGGCCTATACAGATAACAAAAATATCAACATCATTTGGCACATATCTTGCAAGAGAACGCATCGGCAGTTGATCCATCTATTCTACAGCCTTGAGCAGTCCTTTTTGTGTCACACAAGCTCAATCTGACCATAAAGTGCAATTGTAAATCTTCATGAAAGGTCAGCCGAATTACCAAAACGTTACCAATAGATTGTTTAGAAGTAAATAAGAGGAAAAGGAGGAGTTGTGACTCTGTACCGGTACCCCCTGTATATAGCCTCGTTATTGTTCTTTTATTGGTACTTTATTATTTTTTACTTTAGTTTATTTAGTAAATATTTTCTTAACTATTTCTTGAACTGCATTGTTGGTTAAGTAAGCATTTCACTGTAAAATATTTACTAAATAAAAGTAAAAAGTAACACAAAATAATAACGAGGCTATATACAGGGGGTACCGGTACCGAGTCACGACTTCTTGTTGTATTCAGCGCATGTGACAAATGACATTTGATTTGATAAAGACATCACAGGTCAGGACGTAAGGTCACATCCCTTCCCTAAACTAAACAGATTGGGGGAATAGCATAAAAAATAATAGAACTTAAAATAAAACTGATTAATCTCCAAAAGATCAAACAGCCTGCTGAAAACCTTGTATTCGTTTTTTTTTTATGGCACAAAAAGAGTTCAGTTCTGCTTATGTAGGCCTTCATACAACTACTCTACCTACAGGACAAGCATTATCACTGCAGCAGTGGCCTAAAATACAACCTTATCATAACTTCCTTTTGCAAGCACAAATCAAAGCACAAAAAGTAACCAAGAATGACAAATAGTACTGCAGACACTGGTTGTGTTCCTTGTCACAGTTCATTTTTAATTTGAAACTTCAACTGGATCTACTTCTCTTTCTTCTTGTCCTGAAAATATCAAATATCACCATTTGCATATTGTGAAATGTGCTAGTATGAGAAAAAGTCAACATTACATGAGATTAATATTCTGTCTTTGGGGAAAATAAAACATTACCTTCTCATTCATGGCAAGAAGAATCATGAGTTTTCTGAAAATGGTCACAAAGTCGAGGAACAGGTCCACGCAATGCCTTTCAAAAGAAAAACAATTACTTCATTTAAAATATATATTTCATTCTAATACACCAGCAAGTAAAACGTTTTACAACTGCTTATTTGGTGGAATATTATAAAGCTTTACCAGATGTAGTCCTTGTCTCCGTTCTCTGCTTTCTCAATGATGAGCTGAGTGTCGAACAGAACAAAGCCACACATAATGACCAGCCCCAGGTACATGTGAGCCTGTTAGTGAAGAGAAGAGCCATGTTACATCTGAGTCACCTTGCTGAGTGAGACCTCCTCACACAATTATATTACACACTTCCAAATGTATGAGTGGAATCACTTCACATCCAAGTCGTGAGAGATGGCTCTATAAATATTTAGGCTACCTTGAAGAGTATCGCTGATCCAAAGAACATGTTCACCACAGACACCAGGAACAAGATGGATACGCCAGACATCAGAGTACCTGAGAAGAAAACGAACACATTGTTTCAATATATTTTTGGGGGGTTATATCTTGACTAAATTAACACGAATTCTGTGACATTTGTGAATGACTTGTGCTCCTCAAGGAGCAAAGGGGTTTATTCAAGTTAGTTAAGATATGACCAGAACAGATAACTATGCTACTGAATAGCGTAGAACATCTTTGTACCTCCTAGGAAGAGGTAGCTCCTACGCTTGGCGTACAGGGCACTGAGAGTGAAGCAGACGAAGATGATTGAGGTTCCAAGGAAGGCTGTCACAATGATGCTAGAGAGAGACCAGACAGACAAAGACACAATTTAAGGACAAAGTCTTCTTGACTCAATTGAATAACAAATAGTCCTAAGAAATTATTTCCAACAATATTTAATAGCACATAGGCCTAGATGTTCTACCTTGGGTTAATGGTGATGACAAAGTCCATTGCCGGTCCAAGACCAACACCTGGTGAGAAAGAAAAAGTCAATTTGACTTCAGGGGAGATTAAGTTCATGAATTGCCTGGCTGTGAATTGCAATGGACAGTGGATGCCCATTGATCATTTACATTGAACTGTTAACTGGCATTACCCTGGGATTGTGGTGAATAACTAACTCCCTGCTATCAACCAATCAGCATCCAGGATCCAAACAACCTGTTTTATAACAATTAGTTTTTTTCCCCCAATGACTGACAAATTAACAGTCAATAAGAGACAAAATTGTCTGTCTTGAGCCCTGAATTTACCTGTGAAGAAAGCAAACCCTGCAAGGATAGCCAGTCTCTTCTTCTCAGTCTCTGGGTTGTGTGGCGTCATGGACAACCAAACCACCATGCCCAGGGAACCCAGAAGAGTCAGCAAACCACCCTAGTGGAATAGGATAAAGCCAGTAGTATTTTTTAGTAGTTATAGCTTCACCATTGCCTAAAATCTATCTGAACGTTACTGTATTTACCAATGTTTGTCTATTATTATCGGGTGGTGTGCTTGCTGTTTACCTGAAAGAGCCGTGTGACAACATGGACGTAGGAGCCTGCTGCAGCCACGAACATGCAAACTGCCAAGCTGGAGTAGACATTCTTCAGGTGTAACTGGGTAGATTGGGAACTGGGAAAAGCATTGTGTTAACCATGTCATCTCAGTAACTTAGCTAGCTACTATAAGCATGGAAAGATAGAACAAGGTTTCACCGGATGTATAAATCTGAAGCATCCAGTTGGAATTTCCATTCCCCATCAAATATGGTGAGGAGAGGAAGCCCAGTCAGTGGCTGGCAGTGGGAGAGTATGGAGCGAGATGGAACTGGGCTGGCATTCTGCTGATTTTCTCATCAAAGTAAAGCCAGATCTCAATACAGTTCTGTTTTGTAGACGTGACCCATGTCAAAGTTTCTAAAAAATTGCGTTCTTTGGAAGGAGTGTAAGGGCGAATTGAGTTATTACACACGCACTCCACAGAATGATTTTTTTGCTAAAGAAAATAAATATGCAAATACATGCTAGTTCGTGCTTGGCTCTGCCCTTACTTGTTCTATCCACCATGTTTCATTTGTTCCCATTGAAAACAACAGATTAACTATCTTGGGTTAGTTGTAATTATCCTTGGTATGGCGCTGCATTATACAGAGCATTATTATCTGCATTCTGCTTACATTTGGGAGAACTTGAGGAGAACATCCAATTTGATGCTGCGGTCAAACACGTTCATATTGTGTCAGGTTTCTGAGATCTTGGCAGATCTAAAAACAAGGAAATGACAAAGATTCATGTAAAGTTACCAACGAGACTGTGCGTTAGTTAACGTTAACTAACTACACTAGCTAGCTAACGTTACTTAGACATAATTTAAACTCAAATAGTTACGTTAGCTAAAACAGCATAAAATGTTAACGAAGAAAATAGTAATACATACCATAAACGTACTTGGCACTAACGTTAGCCAGCTAGCTTTATTCCTTGTCTTTTCTTTCCTTCGACAAAAACTTTATGGCTATCCTTGTTTACTAACTGTACGTGTCATTCGATCGAGCGTCGCTACGTAGTGACATCATCACATTGCAAAAAATGAAGTAAATCTCATTGACAATTTATTCTATTGTCGGTGCAATCCGGAATCCTTGGGACGTCCATCCCCGCATCGAAGTTGACGTTTAAATTGTTTAGGTTCGGGTTTAGGGTATGGACGTCCCAATGATTCCAGATAGCATTGACCTTTATTCTACGCCCCAAATGATGAAAATATCGTAAATTCCTTATACAAAACTATTGACTATTTCCACAAAAACACACACCGACAAGGAAATATAATCCAACTTTTATTTGGCAAAATTTGACCAGGTTGGCTACAAAATACATGTATTTCTTTAAAAATAGTCCAATATTATTAAAAGTAGCAACAGCGTATCCCAAACTCGGTCCTGGGGACGTTTTGGTTTTTGCACTTGCACTAAAAACAATGTATAGGCCTATATGTGTTACTGATTTACAATTTACATTTTGCTTTATTTTGTTTGATTATAGCAATATCAATGAGGACAACTTAATCTACACAATATCAACAACCAGATAGCTTTGGTTATTCATTAGGATTGTTAAACATTCATTCAAATTTATTAAGTGGTCAACAAGTAGCTACACAATAAAAAGAACATTTAACATTATAAAAACAAACTTGATTGTACCCACATAAAATAATCCAGATTTTGCTAGTTATTTGTCATTGATCTACCCCCTGAACTTGGTTATTGCTTTTTGGATAAACCAATGTCGTTCACATCATCTATGATGATATGAGGAGGCATTGGAAGGTTAAGAGTTGTGTTTGAAAGGCACTCTTTGGAGGAAAATAATCAGTGGTGTTTGATTAACTTGTTTACACAATCCAAAAACTCTTGGCACAAATTATAATTTGGCAGATGTTTTGAATATTGTTGTTTTTATACCCTCACTTGCAGTGGGCAAATAATATACAAATTAATACACAAATTGTAATATATATGTATATGAAAAAAAACATATCATTTCAGAATTAAGAGTACCACAACTACATATCCTTTTTTAAATACAGTATTTGACCACATTCAGTATGGCATTACTGTGCATGATGTCTCTAACTGCATTTGAAAGGTACAGTTGTCACAGTCTTACTTATAAAAACAACAAGTGCAATTTTGTCATTTAGTAATCCAAGAAAAACAGAAAAACATATGTGTTAGACTGGACCAAATATTCTAAGAGCGACAATATAATATACTTGTGCAGAGTAGCCTACCACCATGGCATCCAGTGTGTCTGCCTTCAAGTGACTAGAAAGAAATTCATCTTACAAAATGTGGTCCCAAATGATCAAATCAATAAGCTTTTTAAAGCTTTATAACATCACTGTATGCATGCTATTAATGGTATTCAGAAAAATACATTGCTATAATGTATATAAAGTCTCCAAAACTTGATGAAGACGTTATTTATTCTAATATATTCAGTACTTAATGGAGTGGCATTTTGCTTTGTTAGCCATTTTACAGTAAATAATGCAAATACTTACGTATCAATTAAACGTCTAGTACGTGAGCATATACTAACTGGTCATATATCTAGGAAAATGTAAGGATACATTCTGTTGGCATTCTGGATTTGACTGTGTGAACCGTATAACAAGTAGCACTGTAGTTCATCGTGACTACAGAAGAGGATTGCATAGTGAGAATGGAAGAAAAAACATTACAAAATACTAATAAAACCAGTTTGAGCTGCTTGGTTTTTGTGTTTGTTTAGGAAAAAGGCACAAAGATACAAGTGTCCTGAGTCAGATCAGGCCATGCAGGCTTCTGATTTGGCAAAAATAACCACTTTATTCATATTCATTTGGAGTGACTGTAGTACTCTACAGTACTTTGGCAGTTCTCGCTCAGAACTATCAGACAGTGGTTGACAGACAGTCAGATGCTCCTAGTCAGAGAAATGGCGTTAGAATGTCATGAAGTGCTCGTCAGCAGGGTCCTCCATCATGGTGCTCGTAGCTCCCCCAGTCTGGTGTAGACATCCTCAGCCTGACTCAGGTCCTCAAACACAGGCAGCAGGTGGAGCAGCTCAACATCCTCCACATCATCAAACCAGGACACCACAGGAACCTGAGGGAGCATCAGAGAAACCATTCACTCACTTACTAATGCTTTCTTTGCAGTGTTGAGGTATTGACAACTGTATTTTCTTGTCGTATATAACTGTACTAAATCCAAAAGTTAAGTGGAATATAAGGTTAAACTTCAAAAAAGTGAATAGAATAGAATCAGAATTCAGTAGAATCAGAACTAGTATCATATTAATCATCACTTTGAATCCTGAAAGAGTTCACATTTGAGTTGACAGAAGTTGAATGAAACTCAAACTCACAGCATTCTCTGGGTGGAAGATGTAGGAGGCAGGAGAGTTGTCTAGGATGAGGGTCTTATGGAGCTCTCGGCCCAGCAGGCTGAGGTCTTTGACGTAGCATCCCTGGTGGAACACACAGGACTCCCGGAACAACCGTGCCCGGAATACCCCGCACTGATCCAACAGGTCAGTCACTGGATCTGCATACTGGGGGCGGGCAAGGAAGAGGGAGAAAAGGAGGAAGACGGGGACCAGGGAAGGGAGGAAATGGCAAGAGGAAGAAGGAAAGGGAGTTTGGTCAGGACTAACAAGGTGTCATCAAGGCACTCATGCTACTAATAATGTAACTATGGGTTACATTATGCAATGTATGCTAGCTCATAATATGCAAATCTACAAAGCAGGCTTTGGTACTACAAAGGTCACCTTGTGCATGGGGAAAAGGCTACGGAGGATTGTGAAAGAGAAAAACTTTTAAAGACTTTCTAAACTAGAATACAATAGGTTTTTTCATTAAGAACAACAAAAAAACAGGGCAAATGTCACGACAAGATAAGGTTTCATTAGAAGGTATTTTCAGCTTACCTTGGCAAGACTGGCAGTGAACAGAATACACTCAAACAGCTCTCCCATTCGTTGTAGAAACTCATCCACATATGGCCTCTTCAGCACATATACCTGAAAACAAACACCTGGCATGAAGCTTTGGTAACACTTTACATTAAGTTGCTCTTTTACCTGTTTAGTAACACAGACATTTCTACTTGTTACGTAGTATTTCAGCAATTGCTTTATAATTGAACAGTAATAAAGTATCTAGAAGAAAATATTTGGAAGCAAACATTAACTCTTCTTTCTCTGCTGTGTCCATTTTGTGTCCATCTCAGTTGCTGGTGGCCGGTTCCTGAAACAAGTAATCAAGAATAGGCCGTGCAGGTGTTAACCAGCCTATCCTGGATTACTTGAACCAGGCAGAGGCCCATGGAGAAGAATCCCAAACACCACAACAGTACTCATGTTGACCTGAAGTGCATGTCGTTTTGCATGTACAGCAGGCTCCAGTACATTTCAATACATAGAGTTCAAATATTACCTCTGGTGAGCAAAATCTTCTGAAAGGTGAACTGACTAAGCTGTATTGAACTGTTTCCTTCCTTTCCCATTCCACTGTTGTCCAGTAGAGGGCTCATCTAGTGCTCATAACAAACATCTGTCCTGAGACCCATCCCATTTTAACCTTGGCAAACACTGAACATAACATACGCATACAATACCCAACCACCTCTACAAGCACACAGATAACATATCCAGATGAGAGATTTTACCTGGTGTGTGGTCCCCTCAATCTCCACAGGCACTATGAAATCTGCATTACTGATAGGCTGAGGGAGAGAAGGAACACCGTGGAAGATTGTTGTTATGATGCTCCTGGGCTTTACAGTCATACTGTATGTAATTACATAGGATCAAATTGCTAAACTATAAATCATTCCATAAATCAAACAATACACACAAAATGTCATGTCATTCAAAATTATAATTCACTTCATGAAATGTCCTCTTTTAACTTAGCATTTGATACAAACACCCCTTACAAAACCACATGTAACAGTGAGTGGGTGAAAAAGCGGTAGCTACCTTGAATGAGCTATGTACCAGTGTCTCATCCAGGTCTATGACCACACATATCTTCCCCTGGTCCTGGGGTGTCATCTCAGGCAGCAGGCTGGGCCCTGATGACAGCTGTGGTGGAGGAGAAGACAGGGGACATACACGGTCACTATCTTTAGCCAGTACTACAGAGTACAGTACATGACTGTGCAGAGCATTCATGGAGAACAACACATCTTGCCCTTTTTACTAGGCTTTTCTTATGCTTCATAAACACAGTGCCTCACTCTACAAGCACAGAGAATAACTGCAGTTGAAATTAAATCAATTTTATTTGTCACATGCGCGGAATACAACAGGTGTAGACTTTAATGTGAAATGCTTACTTACGAGCCCTTTCCCAACAATGCAGAGTTAAAAAGTAAGAAAAATTTGCTAAATTTAAAAAGGAAATACGAACACAATAAATTAACAATAACGAGGCTATATACAAGGAATACCGGTACAGTGTTAATGTGCAGGGGTACGAGGTAGTTGAGGTAATATGTACGTAGGGGTAAAAGAGCTCTAACAGTGTAATAATACTGTAAGAATAGAATATCAGATTCAATTCAGAGACCCAAACAATACCCATGCTTCACATCAGCTACAGCTTCCTCATTGCTCCAGTGCTGCCTGGAGGACACTTAGCAACGTGAACAAAAAAGAGGCAATAGTATTGTTTGTCCCTCTTGAGATGCCAAAGCCAGTTCTTCAATATAGTCCGAATTAAGATAACTCCAGATATATGTAATTCATTTTTACGTGTTTGCCGAGGAGGTCTGTCATGCAATTTTACATCTAACTAAGATGTTTGGTGCAGTATTTCTCGAGTGAAAATATTTGCATGAAAACGAGTCGTCTCTCGTTGAATGACAACAAAACAATTAATTGAAGAATTCCTACGGTTGACCAATTACCGACGAAGGGGCATAGACTTCGGCTACTGAACTTCGGCTTGCGTCAGGAAAACTTTTTGTGTGCACGAACAGCTGAAAAAACCCTTGGCGAAGACCAAAACGAACTAAAACATCACAAAATGTTGTCATAATATATGCAGGAACTGTTTGGGATTGGACGCATGTGGACGCCTTCACATGGTGCTAGCGCCCCTACAACTGACAGCCTCACTAGTGGCCAGTGGGCAACACACACCTTGTCATGCTTCTGTAAACTTTGGTTACGAAACACCAGGTACCAAATACTGTACATATCTAATGTCTCCAACATGAACTGACATGCACATCACATTATCCACTCTTTGTAGGCCCACTGCACCTCTGTTTAGCCTTAGTGGATTGCAAGACACTCAGCTGTCTTATCATCATAGGAGATCAATATGAACAGACCTAAACTACTCTGTATCTGCCAACAGTCATGGTTATAGTGTTCAAGATGTTCCCAACAGGTGCAGAAGCCATTTTATATTGCATCATGCTGTCATAACATCAACGGGCAATAATCCCACACATTCTCACAGGGTATTGCTCAAGATAGGAAAGCTATCAATCACTTGTGTAGTTATTGTCTTATATAAAGATATTACTTTCCTGTAATAATTATGGCAGAGTTGTTAAACACATGATGAGGAAGTTGACAGTTGTAAAATAAATAAAAACTGAGCTAAGCCTGACAGTTATTTGGGTTTAAAAATACTTTGCTAAACTGTACACACGGGATTCATGTCCTGTAAAAAAACTCTATGACTGGGCAAATTACAATGTGTGAAACTTTGTGGCAAAAACAATTATTTTGAATCTGAGGAAGTGGTCCAAACAAGCTTAGCAAACATAACAAAATGGAAAAGGACACTTTTTAGGCTACATAATAGTCCCACACTTGGTTGAAATACAGTAAACTACAGCCCATACGCTCTATTTTCGATATGGATAATTACAACAACAATGCTGCTGAGATGTTGAGAGATATATTCTGTTACCTTGACAACATCCCCATTGTCCTGTGGCTCCAGCAAGGCATCTTGTGAAGGTGATGGTGGTTTTGGGGCATCCTGTGCTCCTCTGAGGCAACAGAAGAGTGCTTTGAAGATGTTACAGCTCCTAGGCTTCTTCGGAGAAGACCTGCTCACCTCGCCTGTCACAAGACCAAAAGGAAGAATGCTGTAGGCCTATGACACAACCAAGCTTTTGATCCAAACTCTGAGTGACATATGGCTTTGTCCCAAATGAAAATGCTATTCACCAACACATTATGGTGATTCAACCTGCAATGAAGGTTCTTATAATCCAGGTACAGATGTTTTGTTCACCCTGTTGCAGGATAACTTTTCTGCAATGCATTTCAGACTTGATTTTCCCTTACGATACGAAAAATGTATCAACCCTTACAAAAATGTCCATGAATTATAATCCACATTTCCTGTTGCTGCAGGATTATTTTCCTGCTGTAGCAAACTGGCTCAAATTAAGATCCTACATCTGTAGATGCATGGGGTTAGGGAAATGTATAATGTGAATTTCACAAGATTTTCCCATAAAGTAGAAAGGAGGATTTCCCCCATTTTGAGAGACATAGTTACTGCACACATGTAGAACTAACTCCGTGCTCCCTTCACGAAAGGCTTCCCTCTACACTACAGGGATGCCAGCCAGCCTGCACACGCACGTACGGACACACGCACAGTTGCGCACACACACACACACACACACTGTCAGAATGCGACGGTGAAATGCGGTAGGCGAAGTCAAACGCAGGACACAGAGCTTACTGGAAACGTACTTTACTCGAAGGTAACCAGAGTAGAAAACAATCTCCACAATAGGAGGAAAAACAACCCGCACACGAAACACTGCCGATGACGAATACAATAACACACAACACACAATGAACGACAGAGGGTTAAATAGGGAATACAATACAACATAATGGGGAACAGGTGTACACAATCAGGACAAAACAAGTCAAACAGCGAAACATAGATCGGTGGCAGCTAGTACTCCGGGGACGACGAACGCCGAAGCCTGCCCGAGCAAGGAGGAGGAGCAGTCTCGGCTGATTCCGTGACACACACACACACACACACTCAAACACAAATAAAAATTGGCCTTTAATGAGGTTGCTGCTGCTGGAAGCTGGAAGAGGCTGGTACATGTTATATAATCACAGAGAGGGCGGGAAAACCCACACTCTTCACCAGGCAGTGACTGTGTCTCAAATGGCACCCTATTCCCTACAGGGCCCTTGTCAAAAGTAGTGCACTATATAGGGAGTAGTGTGCCATTTGGGACACAGTCAGTACCTTCTGCTGTAGAAAAAAAACACAGACAGAAAACATTCCAACCGTTTCACTGACTCTCCTGGAACAAGATCTCTGGCTGGTATGGAGTGAGCTGAAGCCAGTCACACCTCAATGCTCCAAGCCCCTTTTGATCAGTCAATGTAAAAATGTGTCATAGTTCACAAAGGTTCCACCACAGGAGGCAAATAGCATCTATTCTTTGGTTGGATATGCATGTATGAGGGTTCATATAAAAATCAAATGCATGGATGGCTCTGATATACAGAACACTGATGGCTGTACTGACTAAAGATATCAAAGGGATTCATTTTAAACAACGGATTAAAAAAGAAAAAAAGTGATTGTTTCAATGCAAATCTTCAGGAGCCTTGTTCACACATTTGAACATGCTCAACATGCTTGTCATATTTTGTGAAGGAGTGTTAGTTATTATGAGTCTCTTGATTCATAACCTCCACCCTTGATCCTAACTTTTAATTTCCCACCTTCCCTCATTCTCTTTGTTACATCTTTGGGGGGTGTCAGCAGCCATAGGAATGATGATGCACTACAAAAGTATGTGGACACCTGCTCGTTGAACATCTCATTCCAAAATCATGGGCATTAACCCTTTGCTGCTATAACAGCCTCCACTCTTCTGGAAAGGCTTTCCACTAGATGTTGGAACATTTCTGCAGGTATTTGCTTCCATTCAGCCACAAGAGCATTAGAGAGGTCGGGCACTGATGTTGGGCGATTAGGCCTGTCTCACTCTCTGCGTTCCAATTCATCCCAAAGGTGTTCGATGGGGTTGAGGTCAGGGCTCTGTGCAGGCCAGTCAAGTTCTCCCACACCGATCTCGACAAACCATTTCTGTATGGACCTCACTTTGTGCACGGGGGCATTGTCATGATGAAACAGGAAAGGGCCTTCCCCAAACTGATTCCACAAAGTTGGAAGCACAGAATCGTCTAGAATGTCATTGTATGCTGTAGCGTTAAGATTTCCCTTCACTGGAACCAAGGGGCCTAGCCCGAACCATGAAAAACAGCCCCAGATCATTATTCCTCCTCCATTAAACTTTACAGTTGGCACTATGAATTCAGGCAGGTAGCGTTCTCCTGGCATCCGCCAAACCCAGATTAGTCCGTCGGACTGCCAGATGGTGAAGCGTGATTCATCCCGCCAGAGAACGCGTTTCCACTGCTCCAGAGTCCAATGGCGGCAAGCTTTACACCACTCCAACCGACACCTGGTCACGAAGCTCCCGACTAACAGTTATTGTGCTGTGTTGCAACCGAGGACAGTTGATTTTTACACGCTACGCGCCTAAGCACTCGCCGATCCCTTTCTGTGAGCTTGTGTGGTCTACCACTTCACGGCTGAGCCATTGTTGCTCCTAGACATTTCCACTTCACAATAACAGCACTTACAGTTGACCGGGGTAGCTCTAGCAGGGCAGATATTTGATGAACTGACTTGTTGGAAAGGTGGCATCCTATGATGGTGCCACGTTGAAAGTCACTGAGCTCTTCAGTAAGGCCATTCTACTGCCAATGTTTGGCTATAGAGATTGCATGGCTGTTTGCTCAATTTTATACACCTGTCAGCAACGGGTGTGGCTGAAATAGCTGAATACTTTTGTACATATAGTGTACATAACCAAGGAGTTGGGGAAGAACATATGGGAACTCAATAGAAATCATTTTGACATGTAATAATTTTAACGTGTTTTAAGGTGAATTCCTCTAGGAATTCTATAGGATTTTACATGGTGAGTTTACAGAGTGATTTCTTTCCAATTCCACTCCTGTAAACAACCATGGTCTATCTATATAAAGATACAGGACCCTAGGCCCTGGCCTGGGTGACATCGTTCAACACATATAGAATAGAATATATAGAATAGCCCCTCCCTGGGTCACAGGAAACAGATATGCCACGGGTAACAGGTTAAAAGCAGTAAAAAAATGAAATGTATGTTACTTAAAGCATTTGTTGTAACACTATGTGAAGGGTACCTACATAAGGACTTCATAAAGGCACTTACGGACGGGCCACGGTAAACGGCAATTGAACCGGGAGAAAATCTGCCTACCTGTGTAGAGACCAGCGGTCCTGGTTGTTGTCAGCTCGAATGTTGTTATTAAAACATTGGTTGACAAGATGAACTCTGCTCATTGGTCAACCATGTGTGTCGGCCGGTCAAGACTTCAGCTAATTTAATATTTTGGTGCCTCGAGAGCAGAGCCAGCGGCGCCGCTCACGGGAGCGAGCACCAGGAACCACACTGCCCGTACACACTGCCCATACAACCATACTGCCCGTACAAAACATATCTAACTGATGGGATACACAAGCTCCCGTTAGGCTTACAGAAATAACTGCCTATAAAAACATATCTAACTGATGGGATACACAAGCTATATTCCTTGCCAAATGATGACAGTTTTATCACAAATTCAAAATGGACTGGTTGATTGATGTAGGAAAATATGTGTTCCAACAACAAGCTGCAGATTAGGAATAATTGTGTCCCATCTACTTGATTCCTTTTAAAATGAGTTAGCCTAGGCTATAACCCCCCTAAACATAGACAGGTTCCACACTGAAAATATGCAAAAACATTAGTTTGATAAAGACAAAGAGCATATTATCACCAGAATCCTTAAGCACTCATCACCATGCAGTGTTCAATGTGAAATTGTTAATCCATTAAAATAATTCCAAAGAATAGGCATAATAAACTAAATTGAACATCTGTATATCGAAAAGACAGATTTTGAATTGTAACCCTGAAAAAATTGTCTTTCAACTTGCCAAATTCAGCCCCATTTCAAATGATCACTCTTTGAGAATAACTTTTCCAGACTCGAAATGCGCATCACCTTACACTGACAGCTTTTTTCATTTGGAAAAATATTCTGTAATTTGTTATATAACATGTTTTCTTTACAATACAATATGTGTGTCTTTTTAAAACGATTGTGTTCCGCGATATAATATAACCAGTTGATAGTATGGTTTCAATAAATTAATCTTAAATGGCACTTGCTTTTTTATTGACTGAATATGGCAATTAGGATTTGTTATCTGTAATGGTTATGATAAATGAGGCATTGTTGCACACTGTTGGCATTGGCCTATAGATAAATGTACACATATGTTTTTCCAGTGCAGGCCTTGTGTTCTAAAAATAGATACTTTTTTCCATTGGAGTACTCGAAAAGAAATCATGCTAGTACTTGAAAGGTCAAAAAAATTAAAATGTCCATCCCTAATTCATGTGGTTGTTGGCATATGCATTTATGAAATGCTCATGTATTGTTTATGGATGCGTTATGAATGTGTTATGAAGTCTCCCTTATGTAGGTACCTGTCAAATAAAGTGTTACCGAAATTGTTTAGGGCTGACATGTATAGGCATATTACCCAGCAGGTTACATGTAATTTTTACAATTATTGATGTTGTGGATATCATGTATCAACACAAACATAACATGCTAGTGCCAAAATGCCATTTTAAAGGGTAGGATAGCCTATTTCTGAATACATCAAAACAAAATTCGAATAAATTAGAAAAGAAACAATCTATAATAATCTATTAGATTTGTATCTGTTGAGCAAACATAGGAGCAGCAGGGTTATCCTATCACACATAATCTGGTATTGTAAATCAACCATAACCATACAGCAGTACCCGTCCCCTTAATTCAAACCGGACTGCCAGAAGCACGAAAACAACGAATCTTTGAAACCGCGCTTTACAATGGGCGGCGGAGGGAGGAGGGCGTGTGCTGAGGGGTGTGCTTGTGCATTCCACTGTCAATATCGACCGCGGCACCTGGCATTTCTACGGTTCTGCTTCTCATCCGCAACGGTTTTCGGTTTATTTTCCAACAGCAAATTGTATATCATACACCTGCCAATCTTTGTATTGTATAGGCCTGTGGTGTGGTATTTTTATAATGACATTCGGATAGTGTGCCACACTGGCGCGCATTGATCTGCCTTGATGTGTCTCTAGCCTGAGCCTGCGAACAAAAACAAGACATGGCTGTGCTGTGTGTATGGCAGCCTAGAGACAGATGTGACAAAGTAATATATGGAACGGCGACATACAACAGCTGGAAATAAGATATATCCCAAATGATAAACACAGGGTAGGCTAAATACGGGGGTGGTTTGGTTGAACATTTTACACGCGAAATTATTCGTCTGTCAATTAATGAAATTATAATTATTAGCTAATAATCATATGCCTAAATGTTTAGAATGATGGCATTGGATGTTGTAGCCTTGTTTTGATCCATATAAATACTGTAGCATCAACATTACTGAATCATTTGATGGCCTTGAAAGTCCAATCATTTGCGTAAAATGGGAAATAAATATTGATTTGAATTGTTTACACTGACTGAATATTCTTGGCAACATTGCATTCGTGATGACAAAATACATTTTTTTCAAATAGCCTTTACTCTTGCATTGTCAAAAATGTGTTTGTACCAGAGGGGTTTTCCCTTTCCAATTATGCAGGTGTTCAATAACACCTTTGAAAACTAAGCCATGTTCGGCATCAGTTGCATGTGGCGGCTTGAATCATCATGAAATATAATATTGATATTCACCGTAGTCTATTTATACGCAAATTGAATGTGTACATAGCCGACCGTCAAGAAGAGCAGTGAGCTCTAGAATGTCGCGCGCAATATCAGCGACGTTGGAACTGTCAAATGGACGCGCTGGGAACATGTTTACGTCAACGTTAGAGTGCTTGCATTTGATTACTTAACGAACCTCCTCCATATCATAACTATACAATTATAATTAAACCCATGTTTAATCAGAACAAACAATAAAAACGGGGACATATCCTATTCTTACCTGTTTTCGGTGACAATTGAATGTCTTCTTTCTGCACTTGAGTGATGATAGAACTTTCCATCTGACAAGCACAGAGCCCTCAAAATCCAATCCGTTCCCCAAACAGAGATAAGCAGCCTTCATTAGGTTATATTGACAAGTTACTAAATGATTGCCCTGATAACTGTCATCCGTGGCTTTGTTGGATCTGGAAGACGCTACAATTCATCACCAACAATGCATCTTTATTTCTTGCTTCTTCTGGGAGGGGCAGGGCGCTTGGATATGTTTTCGTCTTTGCGTTTCCCTCGGCTGCGCGTCTCAGTTTACTTTATCACTAGTATATTTCTGAACCGAACGGCCCCTTCCTGTCTCTGCGAAGACCTCACTTTTCGCTCCAACAACATGGAGAATACATGCGAAAGAAGAAAAACAACCGAGGAAATGGGGCAAGGGGGCGGTTTCAAGTTCCCCTTACTACAGATAAACAACACCGTCAAAATGCTATTACCGAGAGGACGAAAAGAAAACAGATTACATCGGCGGACATATTTCTCAAAAAGAGAAATGGTTATGAATAGAATTCGATTTTAAATGTGAGATGTATTTGTTTTTTTCGGGGCTTTGTTTTTCTTCGAATGGGACACCAAGGGCGCCTTGAAACCGTTGCTCGTTTTGGATTGGATCTTTGAAAAGTGGGAGTTGCAAAGGCATTCCTCTCTATTCTGCACACTCCACACCAGAAATATGTTCCAGCGCTGGTTTTGTTACGACTGAATAAGCATTTATGATTGTAATACATTGGATTACTAAATTAGGCACTTTTCTTCTTCAATATATCGTCATTATAATAATACAATAATAATAATAATGTTTTCATTGATATTGTCATTGATAATATTATAAATCTTTAGTTAATTGAGATACAAAGGACTTCAGTAATTGCAGTAATGACAAAGAAAAAAACTGCACTTCGAACTTAATCATTCAAGTTTATCCACAGTTTATCCACAGTAGATTGTTTCCTTACAAATAAATGTACATTTGTTGCTAAATATAATGTTTATGTCCATCATAACTAATGGTCATCTGTTTAGTTGATTTGTTGTAATTTTCCAGCACTCCAACATGACAACACTTCATCATATACAGATGTAGGAAGAGGTAGCTAATTAAGTCTTTATTGTAAAATGCAGTTAAAATGCAGTGCTGCACACATCACATACAGTGCATTCAGAAAGTATTCAGACCGCTTCACTTTTTCCACATTTTGTTTTACGTTACAGCCTAATTCTAAAATGGATTCAATTGTTTGTTTTCCTCACCAATATACACACAATACCCCATAATGACAAAGCAAAAATAGGTTTTTAGACATGTTTGCAAATGTATTCAAAATTAAAAACGGAAATATCACATTACATAAGTATTCAGACCCTTTACTCAGTACTTTGTTGAAGCACCTTTGGCAGCGTATACAGCCTCATGTCTTCTTGGGTATGACGCTACAAGCTTGGCACACCTGTATTTGGGGAGTTTCTCCCATTATTCTCTGCAGATCCTCTCAAGCTCTGTCAGGTTGGATGTGGAGCATCTGATCGGGTTCAAGTCCGGGCTCTGGCTGGGCCACTCAAGGACATTCAGAGACTTGTCCCGAAGCCACTGCTGCGTTGTCTTGGCTGTGTGCTTAGGGTCGTTGTCCTGTTGGAAGGTGAACCTTCGCCCCAGTCTGAGGTCCAGGGTGCTGGAACAGGTTTTCATCAAGGATCCAGACGAGCTAAACCACCTCTATGCTCGCTTCGAGGCAAGCAACACTGAAGCATGCATGAGAGCACCAGCTGTTCTGGATGACTATGTGATCACGCTCTCCGTAGCCGATGTGAGTAAGACTTTTAAGCAGGTCAACATTCACAAGGCCGCAGAGCCAGACGGATTACCAGGACATGTACTCCGAGCATGTGCTGACCAACTGGCAAGTGTCTTCACTGACATTTTCAACATGTCCCTGACTTAGTCTGTAATACCAACATGTTTCAAGCAGACCACCATAGTCCCCGTTCCCAAGGACACTAAAATAACCTGCCTAAATGACTACCGACCCGTAGCACTGACGTCTGTAGTGCTTTGAAAGGCTGGTCATGGCTCACATCAACACCATTATCCCAGAAACCCTAGACCCACTCCAATTTGCATACCGCCCCAACAGATCCACAGATGATGCAATCTCTATTGCACTCCACACTGCCCTTTCCCACCTGGACAAGGGGAACACCTACGTGAAAATGCTACTCATTGACTACAGCTCAGCATTCAACACCATAGTGCCCTCAAAGCTCATCACTAAGCTAAGGATCCTGGGACTAAACACCTCCCTCTGCAACTGGATCCTGGACTTCCTGACGGGCTGCCCCCAGGTGGTAAGGGTAGGTAACAACACATCTGCCACACTGATCCTCAACACGGGGGCCCATCAGGTGTGCGTGCTCAGTCCCCTCCTGTAATCCCTGTTCACCCATGACTGCATGGCCAGGCACGACACCAACACCATCATTATGTTTGAAACGACACAACAGTGGTAGGCCTGATCACAGACAACGATGAGACAGCCTATAGGGAGGAGGTCAGAGACCTGGCCGTGTGGTGCCAGGATAACAACCTCTCCCTCAACGTGACCAAGACAAAGGAGATGATTGTGGACTACAGGAAAAAAAAGAGGACTGAGCACGCCCCCATTCTCATCGACGGGGCTGTAGTGAAACAGGATGAGAGCTTCAAGTTCCTTGGTGTCCACATCACCAACAAACTATCATGGTCCAAACACACCAAGACAGTCGTGAAGAGGGCACGACAAAGCCTACTCCCCCTCAGGAGACTGAAAAGATTTGGCATGGGTCCTCAGATCCTCAAAAAATTCTACAACTGCACCATCGAGAGCATCCTGACTGGTTGCATCACCGCCTGGTATGGCAACTGCTTGGCCTCCGACCGCAAGGCACTACAGAGAGTAGTGCGTACGGCCCAGTACATCACTGGGGCCAAGCTTCCTGCCATCCAGGACCTCTATACCAGGCGATGTCAGAGGAAGGCCCTCAAAATTGTCAAAGACTCCAGCCACCCTAGTCATAGACTGTTCTCTCTGCTACCGCACGGCAAGTGGTACCGGAGTGCCAAGTCTAGGTCCAAAAGACTTCTCAACAGCTTCTACCCCCAAGCCATAAGACTCCTGAACAGCTAATCATGGCTACCCGGACTATTTGCACTGCCCCCCCCACCCCATCTTTTTATGCTGCTGCTACTCTGTTAATTATTTATGCATAGTCACTTTAACTCTACCCACATGTACATATTACTTCAACTACCTCAACTAGCCGGTGCCCCCGCACATTGACTCTGCACCGATACCCCCCTGTATATATAGCCTCCCTACTGTTATTTTAATTTTACTTCTGCTCTTTTTTTCTCAACACTTTTTTGTTGTTTTTTTATTTTACTTTTTTATAAAAAAATAAATGCACTGTTGGTTAAGGGCTGTAAGTAAGCATTTCACTGTAATGTCTGCACCTGTTGTATTCAGCGCATGTGGCCAATAACATTTTATTTGATTTGATTTGATCTCTCTGTACTTTGCTTCGTTCATCTTTCCCTTGATCCTGACTTGTCTCCCAGTCCCTGCCGCTGAAAAACATCCCCACAGCATGATGCTGTCACCACCATGCTTCACTGTAGGGATGGTATTGGCCAGGTGATGAGCGGTGCCTGGCTTCCTGCAGACGTGACGCTTGGCATTCAGGCCAAAGAGTTCAATCTTGGTTTCATCAGAGCAGAGAATCTTGTTTCTCATGGTCTGAGAGTCCTTTAGGTGCCTTTTGGCAAACTCCAAGCGGGCTGTCATGTGCCTTTTACTGAGGAGTGGCTTCCGTCTGGTCTCTCTACCATAAAGGCCTGATTGGTGGAGTGCTGCAGAGATGGTTGTCCTTCTGGAAGATCTCCACAGAGGAACTCTAGAGTGACCGTCAGGTTCTTGGTCACCTCCCTGACCAAGGCCTTTCTCCCCCGATTGCTCAGTTTAGCCGGGTGGCCAGCTCTAGGAAGAATCTTGGTGGTTTCAAACTTCTTCCACTTCTTCCATCCTGTCTCAATGCTCTATGGACAATTCCTTCGACCTCATGGCTTGGTTTTTGCTCTGACATACACTGTCAACTGTGGGACCTTATATAGACAGGTGTGTGCCTTTCCAAATTATGTCCAATCAATTTAATTTACCACAGGTGGACTCCAATCAAGTTGTAGAAACATCTTACAGATGATCAATTGAAACAGCATGCACCTGAGCTCAATTTCGAGTCTCATAGCAAAGGGTCTGAATACTTATGTAAATAAAGTATTTCTGTTTTTTATTTTTAATACATTTGCTAAAATAAAAAATAAAAAACTGTTTTCACTTTGTCATTATGGGGCATTGTGTGTAGATTGATCAGGGGAAAAAAATATGTAATACATTTTAGAATAAGGCTGTAACGTAACAAATTGTGGAAAAGTGAAGGGGTCTGAATTCTTTCTGAATGCACTGTACCTCCTGAGTTGCACTGTTTCCATTTTTGATTGTTGTCTAAAAATAAATTTCACCAGCTCCACAGAACACACTGAAATGGATGAACAAATGTGTTTCTTATCATTTTTAAATGCTTTTGACGCTGAGATGCTGAGGTGTAACAATAACACCTTCAACAGCAACAGAGGGTGAATTTCAGAACCCCTGTAGTGCAGTAAGGGCTGAGCGCATTAAGCTGCGACTGACTCTGTGTGATGTGAGTCAGGTGTATACTGTGAGTGGGAATAAATGGAAATAAGATAACATATTGATGAAATGAGAGAGGGACATAAATCAGGGAATTCTGCATCTCTTTTGGTTGGGAATTTGGGAATTCTACATCTCTTTTGGCTGGGAATTTGGGAATTCTACATCTCTTTTGGCTGGGAATTTGGGAATTCTATATCTCTTTTGGCTGGGAATTTGGGAATTCTACATCTCTTTTGGCTGGGAATTTGATATTTCTGCATCTCTTTTGACTGGTAATGTGGGAATTCTGCATCTCTTTTGGCTGGTAATTTGGGAATTCTGCATCTCTTTTGGTTGCGGGATGTTTTGGAAGCCAACCTGTGTGTCCTAACAGGAGCACTGAGCAGAGGAGGCAAAAGACGGAAGATGATGTTTCTTTATGACTAACCCAACTAACAACACTGGAGCAGAGAGAGAGAAACTCTGTGGCCCTACTGCCAGAATCATGGATCCGGATCAAAACCCGAACCACAAAACCAAGGCATAAACAAGAATGGCACAGCTGTTTGCATTCCTGCGTTCAGACTGTTTTTACACAGCAACACAGATGCATTGTGAATGTATGTCAAATTAGCATCAACTGGATGACCTGGAAAATGTCATGAGGCTCAACGTAAAAAATGAGGCCACTGATTACACGAATGAAACTTGAAATTGTTTATCTGTGCTTATTTTCTGGTGGTGCTTCTTGTCTGTCTGCCTTTAAAGTGGCTCTCTCCTGGTCATGTTGTCTTTGCATTCCTCCAAGCTATAAGAGCTGAGAGAGAGAGAGAGAGAGAGAGAGAGAGAGAGAGAGAGAGAGAGAGAGAGAGAGAGAGAGAGAGAGAGAGAGAGAGAGAG